CGCCCGGGAGGGGCAGCGGAACGCGGGGCAGAGCCTCGGGTGGGGGGCCCGCCGCCCCGCTTGGCGTGGGTCCCAGGGGTGGCGCAGGGCCCCTCCGCCCTCCGCCGCCTCCACGGCGCCTGCTTTTCCTTTTTGTATGTGCTGTATAGGGTGCTTGAAGGAATGGAAGGATTCTTAACGGAAGAACGTTTGCCGTAGAGAGTTCCGCCTGTGCTCTGCGCTGGTGTAACACACTCTTGTTTTTATTTCAGAGGCGGAGGACTCTGGTGACAGTCCTTGAACTCTTGATGCCGTTGCTGTTTTCTACCATCATCATGTACCTTCGTTTCAATAGTGTGCCAAGAAGAAGGTCCTCTACCAACTACAGTGCCTTCGATATCAGCCTGATGCCGGGCTTTTTCCATCACTTCCCCGTGAGACATAATTACCAGCTGGTTTACATCCCTTCCAAAAGCGGGGCTCTGAGGACCATCGCTGAAATGGTGGAGCAGAGCTTTGATGTTGACTTCGAAGGTTAGCTACGAAGGTGGGGGAAGGGTCGGGAAGGTGTTTTTATATAAAGTATGGTTTTAAATTTTTTTTTTTTCCTGAGAGTCCTTATGGTAATGATTCCAAATCTGGAGTCCACAAATTCTAGAGCTTACAGAGGTGGCGGAAGCTAACGGGGGGAGCCGTCCGGTAGGTATTTTTATGATTTCAAACACCACAGTAGAGACTCATATATTTATGTCACAAGACTGCAAGGTTAATTAAAAAGTTAAATATTTGTTTTAAACTCACTATCATAACAGCTATTATGTCATATATTTTTAAAAGATTTACTTATTTAATTTTATTTATTATTATTTTAAATTTGACCAGAAAGAGACAAAGAGATAGAGAGAGGGAAAGTGAGAAAGCAAGCCACCTGGTCCAGGACTCAAACCACAGTTGGTCATATGGGAGTCTGACACCTTAACCACCATGCCACCTGCTGGACCCTCTAGTATCTCATTAATCAGAAGGTCTTATTAACAATTACATGAGGGAATCAGCAGCTAGTGTAATAGCTATGTCGCTGGACTCCCATGTAGTGACTGCGGTTCGAGTCCCGGACCCGGTGGCTTAAAACTCATGCCGGGTGCATGTGCATGCGTGCCCAAGATCCCGAGAGGAGAATGGAGGAGAAGGGATTGTGGTGTGGTCATCCCCCCGGGGGGTGATTTCTCGCTTTCTGTCTCTATGTCTCTCTCTGTCTGTCTGGTGAGCACACGCGCCCTATAGCGAAAAAACCATTCCAAAAAAAACCCAAAAAACAATTACATGAGCAGTCTTCCAAAAGTTCCTGGAAATGTGTATGAAAAAACTGAGCATGAATTTCAAACATTTTTTTGCACCAAAATAAAATTGTACTCTAATTCTAATTTTTCTCAAACTTTTTTATTCATTTAATTTAATTTATATTATTATTATTATTATTATTTAATTTGACCAGATATAGACAGAGAAAGAGAGAAAGCAAGCCACTAAGACTGGGACTTGAACTGTGGTCAGCCATGGAGTCCAGCACCTTAACCACCATGCCACCTGCTGGCCCCTCCTCAAACTTTCTGAAGCCCGGTCATATGTCTCTGGCTAACAGAGATTCTGAAATCGCCTTCCCTCTGGTCTCTCTGCTTGTCCTCGTGCTCCATTCTGATCTGGTCTCCACGAGGCAGGAAGAGCTTCAGATCAGTAGGAGTCAACTAATGTCCTGCTCCAGCCCCTCCAGTGGCTCCCCACTGCACTGCGAGCAAACCGGACCTCTCCAGGGCACGACCCCCACTCGTCTCCTGGCTCCACGCTCCCTTGCACTCACACACTGCGGCATGCGGTCCACTTGCGGTTCCAACGACGTGTGAGGCTGCCTTCCTCACGACCTTCCTGCCACTGTTTCTTCTGATGGAATCCTTTGCCCTCGGCCCTTCTGAGCATCGCTTCCTCTTATCCTTCAGGTGTCAGCTAAAATGACACTTTGGAGGCAGCTCCATAGAGATTTTGGGTCGATCAGCTCTGTCTATGCCGTTTCACAGAGCCCTGTTCGATACCGCTTAGCATGTTTACGGATGTTCCCTGCAGCGTCCACGTACCCCCATGCCTCCGCAAGACCGAGCACCGGCTCTGCTTTGTCACTGCGCTGTCACAGGGCCTGGCGCGTCAGAGCTGCTCCGTTCACATTTTACTGACTAACTTCATGCATTTAAGTGGACGAGATCTTTCAAAATGTGGAGTCCAGGGACCAGCAGTTAGCGTAATGGCTATGTTGCTGGACTCCCACGTAGTCGACTGCAGTTCGCGTCCCGGACCCGGTGGCTTAAAATTCATGCCGGGCGCGTGTGCATGCGTGCCCAAGATCTCGGGAGGAGAATGGAGGAGAAGGGATTGCCGGGGAAGGGAGAGAATTCAAGGGATTTAAGTCCCGATCACATCATTTGAGACCTGGGTCAAGCCTTAGTGGTTTGCTTTTCATTAGAGCGAGCTTTGTTCTCATAGGAAATTTTAGTTCAATATTCTTCAAGCATTTTTTTCCCCGTAAGTGAAAGAGACACAAAGGAAGAGAGAGGTGGCATCCACGGCGGGTCCTGAGGCCATGCCGCCAGCCTCAGCTCGTCCCAGGTCACGGCCACGCACTTGATTTCTTTAGAGCCCAAGAACTCAGTAGCAGCAGCAGCTCCTGGGAGTAGAGGCGTCACAGGTGAACTAAGTGGAGTAGCAGGGCTCCGCGTCTTCACCTCCCTCCCTGCCCCGTGCTTCGAGCCTCCGCTCATGTGTCTGCAGAACGGACGACCGCGAAGCGGCAAGGAGCAGCATCTTGGCCTCCCAGGAGAGCAGGGGCGCTTGGGTGGGCCTGCCTCCGCCGCTCACTGGTGACGTTTTCCTCCTTGTAGTTCTAGGCTATTCTTCGGAGTCCTCGTTTGAGGATTTCATAATAAAGGATCCCAAAGCTTTCTACGTACTGGCAGGAATTGTTTTTCGCCATCACTTCGATGACCGCCATGAACTTTTGCCACTTGCGGTAAGAACGTGCTTCCACAGCGGTCTCACTGTCCTGCCCCGCCTGGAGCCTGAGCTCCTTAGCAGTCTGGTCACGATCTGCCCTCTGCCCGCAGCGGCCTTGCCATCTTATCGCCAGGGTGTTTACATCTCTCAGCCTGCACGTGCACGACCCTCCCAGTTGCCAGGTTCCCTAAAGGTGAAGCCTCTGTCCTGAGAGTACGGGATGGCCCGTGTTCCATTGCTTGGTCACAGAAGCAGCCAACACCAGGCTTCGCAGACTGAATCCCAGCTCTGCAGCTTCCTGGATATGAACCCTGGGAAGTTACTAGTACTTCTAGGACTCAGTGTTCTTATTGGTGTCGTGGGATAAAAATTGACTAACTTGGGGGCCAGCAGGTGGTGGGTGGTTAAAGGCACTGGACCCCCACATGGCTGACTGTAGTTCAAGTCCAGGGCCTGCTGACTTGCTTTCTCACTTTCCCTCTCTCTCTGATCAAACTGGAAAATAATAGTAATAGTAATAATAATAAATACAGTTAAATAAAACAATTCTCTATAAAAATGACCCAACTTGTAGGCCATTGTGAGTGTGTGCCTACACGTGGGTCGGCTGGAGCCCGGAGCAGAGGCGTCGCGCAGGAAGGACAGCTGGCCGCCGTTGTTACCGACCTCTCAGACTTCAGGCCCAGCCGCGCAGTGTTAGGGAGACGCGCCGCATGTCGGGTGGAGAGCGGTCGCGGCGGCGTCTGTGCTGTGCGTCCCGTCCAGTAACCACCTGTGGGCACGTTGACGGGCGGGGAAAGGTGCGGGCACAGGGCAACCAGCGACACCGCCAAGCACCTCTTCTGCCGCCCTCAGAGGCCCTCACGCCATCTCACGGCAAAAGGGCCATCAGTCCCTCTCCATTCCGCTGACGAAACCGTGGCACGAAAGGTGCACACCCTGCGGACCGTGAGGTGGCGTGCCTACCCCAGGAGGCCGGGGCTGGGACCGGGGATCTGGCTCCGCAGCCCCAGCCCGTGGCTGGACTGTCCTGCCCACTCCCTTCTGGAGGTGGCTCAGGAGCCTGTGGCCTGCCTGCCTGGGTGCTCAGAGAGAACTGTGAGAGGCGGTTGGCTCGAAGTGAAAAAAAAAAGCAGAGGGCAGCTACATCAGTCGCAACTTGGCAGGGGCGGCAGCCAGACCCTCTGCGGAACCCCGTCCTCTGAGGGCTCCTGACGTGGCACGGTTGTCTCCCTTCCCTCCACCCCAAGCAGACACAGAAATTCACGGCTGAGATGGGATGCTAGGCCAACACCCCAATTCTCATGAGGACAATAAACTAGTGGGGTGGGTCGTCTAAATGTGGGTGCTCAGACTGTCAGGGTTCGCCCCGGGCATGCGTGAAAGAGATGCACAGGTGCAGGGAAAAGCCCACGAATTCCAACAGCGAAGCCAGACTCCGGGACAAGCCTCCCTGGCGATTACTCACTGCCGGGCCTCGCCCACGCCCCGTGCAGCCGGCCCTCCCTGGCGCTGCCCGCCTGCACGCCCTTCTGGCACGCAGGTGTATTTCTTTTCTATTACAGATCTTCACTTTCCTATTAAAACTTCGCTTTTCCTACTTCACAAGTGTCTGTCATTTTAATTCTGCTTCTCAGGGCAGATCCCTGGTATTAAAGACCTGGCCCTAAAGAATGGAGGCTTGCATACAGCACAGCTCCGCTGTCCCAGGGTAACAGAACCTGCTGCTGCGTGCTCCTGGGGCCGCTTCCTCCACCCACAGCGGCCGCCCAGCGGGGCTGCCTGTGCCTTTGCTGGCTTTCGGGGCCTCGTGACCCATTTGTCTTCCCTTTATTCTTCACAGGTTAAGTACAGCTTGCGCTTCAGTCACATTCAGAGGAACTACGTACCGCTGAAGCATATATTTTTTGAAGACCAAGAGGGCTGGTGTACAACCTTTCTTTATCCTCCCAACCTAAGCCAAGAGCCCCGGGAACTTCTCTACTCCGATGGGGGCAGCCCTGGTGAGAAGGCCCATGTGTGACCATGCGTGCAGACAGTCTGGAGGTACACGCTCACTGTGCTGTGTGGCAGCTGCTTTAGCCACTGACACTTGCTGAAGTGACAGTCCGGAACAGAGCAGGACGGAGGGGCTACATGTGGAACTGGCGCAGGGCCAGAGAGCTGTGGGGCCAAGGCTCTGGAGCCTACAGCCAGCGTCATGGTTCAAGGCTTGGACCTGGCAGAATCATGCCGTGTGTGTGTGTGTGTGTGTGTGTGCGCGCCTAAAATCTGAGAGGACAGTGGAGAAGAAGGGATTGTGGCATAACTGTACCCCAGGGAGGGTGATTTCTCAGCTTTCCTCTCCCTCTCTCTGCTTCCCTTTGGCAAGGGCACATGCCCTGTAGCAAAAAAAAGAAAAAAATAAATAAAAAGGGCGCGTGGCACTCAGTAAAGGCCCGCATCGCGCAGTAAGTTGAAGCCGCGTCAGGCATTCGACTGTGACTCTTACCAGAGACAGAGAGAGAGAGCGAGAGAGAGAGAGCGAGCGCCGCCTGGGGGAGCGGCCATGCCACCAGCCCTGCTCCGTTTGCCTCGGAGGATTTTAGGTGTGCACACGCGTGTGCCCGCTGTCTTTTCCGAGCCAGAGTCTGACGTACTGCACAGTGGGCCACGTAGGATCTGTGCAATTAAACCCGTGACCACCACGCCACCTGCTGGCCATTGCTTTAACTTTTTCTTGAAGTATGACACAGTCGTGAGAGTACAGCGCTATGAACACACAGTCGTGAGAGTACAGCGCTATGAACACACAGTCGTGAGGGTACAGCGCTATGAACACACAGTCGTGAGGGTACAGCGCTATGAACACACAGTCGTGAGGGTACAGCGCTAGGAACACACAGGCGTGAGGGTAAAGCGCTATGAACACACAGTCGTGAGGGTACAGCGCTATGAACACACAGTCGTGAGGGTACAGCGCTATGAACACACAGTCGTGAGAGTACAGCGCTATGAGTTTTTACAAACCAAGCACATGTGTAACCAGGACCCAGGTCCAGAAACAGAACGTTATGCAGCCCAGGAGCCCCATCCTGCCCCAGTCCCTCCCTCCTAGTATGGAAAGCGGCTGGAATCTCACCTGCACCCCTATCAGGCCCTGCTGTTCGTGTGTGTACACCTCATCTCCGCTAGCTCCGCCTTCGTGGCAAAGCTTCTCTTGCTTGTCTAGAATGTGTTTAACTTTCACTTTCTTCCACATCTAGCAGTCAGAAAAAGTGTGGCTGTAGGTAATACCGAAACCCTCTCTGTCATGTCACTGTGCGCGCATGTGTGTGTGTAGGAAGAATGGTTTCTCATTTGGGAAACTTGCTTCTTTTTTGTCTTCTTCCTACAATTTAAGACAATGTTTCTATGGCTTGTATTCCCCTACTATATTTTAAGCTTGCTCCCACTTTGTCTTAGCATCTTGTTGACAGGAATAACCAAGACTCAGTAGAAGATCATTGGAACAGTTTATTCTGGACATGGACTAAGTGACCAGACCCAGGAAAGCACAGACGCGTGTCCTGGGCTGCTCGGAGGCAGCGGTTCTTTTCATTTAGTTTTAGTGGCAGGCGACACAGACCAAGTTGCAAATCCACATCAGGAGGCTTTGATCGGCTAGGCCCCAAGAGGCAGGGTATCCAGAAGCCGGGGCTTGTAAGTTATAGGAGGATTTTGAAATCTAAGGGTTATTAATCGGTTAACAGCATAAGTTTTTTTTTTTCCAAAAGACTTAGAATCTGCAAAAGAACGCCTATTTTTACTTAGATAAAAAAGCTTCACTGAGTGTCATGAAACGCTGTGTCAGGGACAGGAGGGGAGGGAGCGCCCACCATCGCTGGGCCACGGTGTCCGGCTATAACAAGGTGAACGGCCCCTTAGAAAGACCTTAGAACAGGAGAAGTCGTCAGACCTTGTCCTCAATCTAATTTTCAATGAGATACATTCTGACCCTGGAACGATCAGTGGATAAGAAACTGCGCACCGGGCCGGCCAGCTGCGTGGCTGCCGAGGCGGCTGGATCCCACGTGGCTGGCTGGACAGGTTCAGGTTTCAGACCCGGTGGCTTGAGAAACACACGGCACATGTGTGTGCCGAAAACCCGGGCAGGATAGAGGAGAGGGCCTGCAGCAGGCCACGCCCTCGAGGGGTGCTTTCTCACTTGCTCTGCCTGTCTCTGTCTCTGTCTCTCTCTCCAGCATGCACACACGCTCTGTTAAAAGCAAACAAAAAAACAAAGAACAAGGCAGATGCCATTCCGCGATGTCCTCCCGCTCTGTTCTCAACTTCCTGCTTAGATATCTGCCCCCGGCTCGCGCCTCCTCAGCTGCAGACACAGGGACTGACCGGGCCTCTTCTCTGAAGAGCCGTTACTCTCCGCCTCGACCTAGGTGTCCTGCCCTCCCAGCCCGTCACTCTTCATGCCCCTGAAAATAAACACCTGGGATATCTTCATTTTAAGGAAATGACTGCTGACCGGCGTGAGTGTTGTATGGGAAATTATCTTGAAATAATGGTGCTCCCACGGCTACTGCCAGGAGAGCTATCCCAGAGGCCAGAGCACAGCCTCACGCGCTGCTTCCTGCTGCTGGTGTGGGCGGCCGGCTCGCGGTGTGCCCGGGAGCTCAGCCACACATGCGCTCGCTTGGTTGGAGAGGTGCAGGCGCGCCCCTGGAAGCCCGCTGAGCACGTGCGCGCACTTCACCTGCTTCTCTCGGGAGGGGAACGCGCTGGCCCAGACTGGGGCCGTAGCGGGTTTCACCAGCGGGTGGCTAACTTACGGGGACGCGTCCGTCCTCACGGAGGAAAGCTGATCTGTGCGCCACGACTATCTCGGACGCGTCGGCCCCCACCTGCGAGTACCTCTGTCGCCTGTCCTGCCCTTTTCAGCGCACCTGTCCCACCGGGTCCCCCGTGTGTCTCTGTCTGAGGTACCTTGCCTACTGTCTCCACTAAGCATACCTTTGTGTTTTAGTTACGCCATTATATATATTTTTAATTTAAATTTTTATTTAACTTTGTTTATTTTGATTTGAGCAGAGAGGGACAGAGTGAGAGAGTGAGAGAGAGGGAAAGTGAGAAAGCAGCCACCAGGCCCGGGACTCAAACCGTGGTCGGCCATGTGGGAGTCTAGTGCCCTAGCCACTGCCCACCTGCCAGCCCCTGTACCATTTAAGGCAACTGCGTCCACACTGTTTTGTCTTCTTCCGTCGGCACAGGGCTCCTTTGCCCCCGCGAATGCTCAGAGGTGCTATCAAGCTCAGCCCCAAACATTGACTCTGTGACGGTCCTTTTTCTTCTGCCGTGGCCTGTGGGCGGTAGGAACGCCTGCCCACTGCTGTCTGTCTGTCTCAGTGAGTGGCTAGCCATGATCTGTCCGAATTATGAATTGTTTCGCATCTTTGGTCCTTAACTAAAATATATATATCTATGTATTTTATTTTGGGGATCAGCAGGTGGCGTAGTGATGAAGGTGCTGGATCCCCACATGGTCGACCTGGTTCGAGTGCCCTGTGCCAGTGCGTGTGCGTGCGTGCCCAAGACCCCGAGAGGAGGACGGACAGAAGGGATTGCGGCGTGGCCGTCCCCCTGGGGCGTGGGATTTTCACTCTCCCTCTCTCTGTGTTTGCCTGTCTCTCTCTTTCTTGAGAACACATGGACGCTGTGACTAAAACTTTAAAAATATATAAATAATAATAATAAATTACTTTATTTTAAAAATTTTGCTGGAATTTGTACGTACTGTAAGAGACAGAGGGAGAGGGAGAAGGCGCCGCCCCGCCCCGCCCCGCGTGGCCGTGCCCGATCCTCCCTCCCCCCTCTGGTTGGGACACACTTGCACATGTGTCCAGTGAGCTTTTCAAGCTTCTGGATCCGGGGCTCGATCTGCTTGGTCGGTCATGTGGGATCCAGCCACCTCAGCCCGCAGGCCACTGGCCCCCGGTTCATTCCTTACGCTTGGCATCTGCTGCTCCTGCAGGGTACCACAAAGAAGGCTTCCTGGCCATCCAGCATGCTGTAGACAAAGCCATCATGTGGCAGCACACTCGGGATAAGACCAGCGACATGTTCGAGGGCCTCGACGTGCTTCTGAAGAGGTTTCCGTATGGCCCCTTCATCCAGGACAGGTTCTTCCTGGTCCTGCAGAATGAGTTCCCCCTGCTCCTCATGCTCAGTTTCATCTGTATCGAGCTCATCATCATCAATTCCGTAGCTCTGGAGAAGGAGAAAAGACTGAAGGTAACAGCACCCCGTGAGATGGGTACCTGCCCTGGGCCGCGGCATGTGGAAGCTGCTGGTAAAAAGTGGCCGGCGTGGGGAGCAGGCCCAAGCAGGTGAGGAGTAGCTTAGGTGGCAGCGTGACCGCCAAGGTGAGCTCGGACGTAGACACTACAACCCGAGCCTGCCTGGCCCTAGGTGCGGCCATCTGTCCTTGTCCCAGGAATCTTTGCTGTGGACAGGGAAGACCCGCCTCGTCCTCTAGGTAACGGCTAAGCACGTCGGTCCTTGTCCCAGGAATCTTTGCTGTGGACAGGGAAGCCCCGCCTCGTCCTCTAGGTACTGGCTAGCACACTGTCTCCCACCCACGGGTGCTCAGACGATGCCTGTAGAATGACCACCTGCTAGACACGCGGTGGGGCGGGTGGGGTGGGGCGTGGCCGTGCCCAGCGGACACACCCATCTGCTGTGAGGTGCGGGGCTCGTTCTCCAGGAGGACACAACCTGAGCCAGGCTGATGCTGCCGAGTTGCTCTTCAAATCGCTGGTTTTGCTCCACTTTCTGCGCGCCTCTGTTTGCCGCCTCTCACATGCGGCTTCTCTTTCCTGACTTCCTGCCCTTTTTGAGAAAACCTTCTCAGCTTACCCACAGCTTGCTGAACTACGTGCATGTGGCCAGCCTAGGCTCGGACCCCGGCCTGGTCAGTCCGCTCAAACACACGGGGTGCGTGCTTGCCCAAGGTCCCGGCAGGCTGGAGGGCTGGGGAAAGGCGGCATAGCACGACGAGCCCCTGTCCGCGGCGTTGTCCTCTCCCCATCTGTCTCTTGGCCACGCATACCTTCTGTCTTGAATTTGAAAAGAAAAATCTTTTCTCGCTCTTTTTCTTTTACTGACTCTTAGGACCATATATTAAAATAGCCTGCCAGGAACTCAGCAGTCATTTCCTTAAAATGAAGATATCCCAGGTGTTTATTTTCAGGGGCATGAAGAGTGACGGGCTGGGAGGGCAGGACACCTAGGTCGAGGCGGAGAGTAACGGCTCTTCAGAGAAGAGGCCCGGTCAGTCCCTGTGTCTGCAGCTGAGGAGACGTGAGCCGGGGGCAGATGTCTGAGCAGGAAGTTGAGAGCACAGCGGGAGGAAGTCGCGGATTGGCACCTGCCTTGTGCTCTTTCTTGAGCCCTGCGTGGCCTCACTGGTGAGGTCTGAAGGGTAAAGGGTGCTTTCCTTTGTCCAACTTGCCTTTTCGCATAGTCACGTGGCCGGAGCAGACTAGCTGTGACTGCTCCCTGAGGGTGCCTGTGGGTGCACTGGCTTTGCTGTACAGCAGGAGGGGCCTCCTTTCTGCCAGGATTGGTCAGGGGCCATGGGCTAACCGGCAGACCCTTCCACCTGGCTCTGCACCCCCTGGAAACCCCAGGAAAACCAGGAGCTTCTAGTAACGCTTTTAGGACCTCCTTTGAGTTTCCAGGTGTGGGATGGGCTTCTACCTTCCCTGCTTGTTAAGTTATTTCAGCAAAAACTGCTGGAGAGGGGTGGTGGGCACCAGATGTTGCACTTCGGCCACTGAATCGGCCACATGTTTCCCGTTTCATTCTTGGTTGCTCCTTAGGCAAACCTAAAGTGAAGAGCACTTTTAAAAACTTGAAAATAACCACCAATTTTAAAGTGGGACATTGACTTTTTAAAATACTAGAGAAAATAAAAACAAAAATATGGCTTACATCCTAAAAGACAGAAGCTAAAATCACAACGAGGCAGATGGAACAGAAAATACAGTGTTGGGAACCAGCAGTTAGCGTAATAGCTATGTCGCTGGACTCCCACGTAGTCGACCACGGTTCGCATCTCAGACCCGGTGGCTTAAAACTCACGCCGGGCGCGTGTGCATGCGTGCCCAAGATCCTAAGAGGAGAATGGAGGAGAAGGGATTGCGGTGAACATCCCCCTTGGGGGGTGGTTTCTCGCTTTCTGTCTCTGTCTCTCTCTGTCTGGCGAGCACACGCGCCCTATTGCAAAGAAAAAAAAAAAACTCTCAAAAAAAAAGTACAGTGTTAAACAAGAAGATCAGATACGGAAGCCACAGCAACAAATGTGAATGGAATCACTTCGCCTTTCAAAAGAAAAAAATTAGAACAGTTCATGAAACAGAATTCAATGAAAGCAAAATGATAGCGCCGTTGACTTACCAGCGCTTGTGTGTCACACGTTCCCAGTGCCGGGTAGATATTCTTGAAAGCACCATTGCAAACGGCGCGTGTGCGTGTGTGCCCAAGATCCAGGGGGAGGGTAGAGGAGAAGGACTGCGTGTGGCCATCCCTCCTGGGGGGTGATTTCTCACTTTCCCTCTTACCGTCTCTGTCTCTTTCTCTGGTGAGCACATGTGCCCTAAGGCAGAACACGTCACAAAAGTTTTTTTCTTTCAAAATAACTCTGTACAGGACAGTATACCTCAGCCACAGAAAAGCAAAGCAAAACCAGTTTTCATTACCATATAACGAGTACCTCTCCCTGGTCTGGCCCCATGGCCCGGTGCTTGAAGGAGCCACATCCCACGTGGCTGACCATGAGGTCTGAGTCCTGGCCTCTGCTACCTGAGGGACAAAGTGGGTGCAAGTGTGTGCCTGTCCCGACTCTCAACAGGGGGGAGGGAGGGAGAGGGGACTGCAGGGGACCGTGCCCCGTGGGACAGTGGCCTCGCCCTGTGGGAGGGTGCTTTCTCCCTCGTCCTCTCTCTCTCTGGCAAGCACATAAACAAGCAACTCTCTCTAAGCAAAGTGATAATAATTAAACTTTAGATTTCCCAAGTGGAATCTTAGAAGAAATGTGCCAAGTAGGAGTATGTTCCATTTTGGCTGAGTGCATGCTCTGGAAAAAACAGCCAACTGGGTAGTTCTATAAAAGCTTTCACACTTGACACTGGTAGGATCGACGTGGTGGGCTCCTTCCCTTCAGGTAGTGCTGTTTCAGCTCTTCCTGGCAAAGGTCCAGGGGAGGCGAGTTATGTTCCAGAAGGAATTGTTAACATGGGATTTATTCCCGAGAGAGGGTCCCCTGTTTGTCCCTAGAACCAAGGTCGGGTAATGGGAGTTAGGCAGTGTCTTTTTCTTTAAACACTGAATACAGTTAGCAGAACTCTCTTCTTTCTGGAACTCTTGTGTCCGCCCAGGTGTTACCTAGTTTGACCATGCAGATGGCTTAAGGGCGATACAGATGGTGCTTTTTCATTTCAGAGTCCTCGGTACCACTCGTCAGCCCTCCCTGCCTCGGCGCAGGACCGTTTCTGCGCTTTCCCGGGTCCCTTTCTGATGGCCTAAACAGGTGCTGCCATACTGTCCCTCCTGTAGGCAGGCACTTCTGTTCACAATGCCTCTACTTAAAAACCTGTATTTTGGTTCAACTCCTACAAGAAGTTTTTTGAATTTCATCAATCTTTTATCTCGTCTTCCCATGACATGCGGTTCTCACCTCTTTCACAGTACAGCTGGAGCTTTCTTCACTCATCTCCAGGTAATCAGCTCCTCAAATTAATGTACACTTGATCCCTCCGAAAAGCTTTGGGTTGGAGCCCCCCGCCCCCCCACCCCCGTACTGTAGCTGGTAGTTTCTCTCTAGCACATGGGTGCTGCGGTTTGGGTAATGCTTTGTTCCCAGTGCAATTGTAGTGGGAGATGGGGAGACCCTTTAAGAAGAGAGGCCATTGGGCAGTGTTGTCTTCACGAGGGAGTGAGTCCTAGCTCTGTGGTGGGGTTAGTTCCCACAAGAGTGGGGCGTTACAACAGATGCGTGGCTGGCCACCTCCCTGTCCCAGTTCTCTCTGCACGCACCTGCCGGCCTTCCTGCCTTTGTCGATTATGTTGTGGTGTGGGACCAGAGGCTGGCCAGGTGCTAGCCCTGTGCTCTCGGACCTTTCAGCAACCAGAACCGTGAGCCTAATAAACCTCTATTCTTTTCTTTTTCTTTTTTTTTTTTTTTGTGAGAGGTTGTCGCTATAGGGCCTGTGCTCGTCAGACACAGAGAGACATAGAGACAGAAAGCGAGAAATCACCCCCCAGGGGGGATGGCCACGCCGCAATCCCTTCTCCTCCATTCTCCTCTCGGGATCTTGGGCATGCACGCACACGTGCCCGGCGTGAGTTTTCAGCCACTGGGTCCGGGACGCGAACCATAGTCGACTACGTGGGAGTCCAGCGACATAGCCATTACGCTAACTGCTGGTTCCCAACCTCTTTTCTTTATAAGTCACCCAGTCTAACATATTTCTGTTGGCAACACCGTAACAGACTAAGGGTGGACTTATCTCCTTCTAACTGCCAACTTACATCTGACTGAGGTTTGCTCCTAAGTCTCTTCAACACCTGCACTTGTTCTAGAAAGTGTGATTTAATTGAATATCCTGTAAAAGGATGAAGTGGACTGGTGCTGCTTTTGAAAGCTTAGTCGAATGCTTTGAAAGATTCAGTAAGGCAGATCTCTAAAAAGCACGTGGGTAAAGTCCATGTGGATGACTCCGCTGTAGAATTTGGGAAAACTGAAGAAGCATGAGCCGAGCCTGTACTATGTTGGTTAACACCTGCATTTGCGCCCGCGGTCCGCCTTTGAGATGACTGTCGCGGAGTGCGTTTTACGGGCGGACATCGGTTCTGCACCAACGAACAGGCACAGGCTTTAGAACCTGTGCTCTGACTGCATGTACTGACACATGTACGTCGATATGTTTTAAGTGAAAATAAGATCTGAAGTATGGGTATATCGTTTTTGTGATTCTCTCTGCTTTAACCAACCACTACTGTCATACGTGCGTGGCAAGCGTGTGCACTGCTGCCGCACGTGCATGGCCAGCGTGTGTGCTGCTGTTGTACGTGCATGGCCAGTATGACATACACGCATGGCCGGCGTGTGCACTGCTGACATACATGCATGGCCGGCGTGTGCATTGCTGACATATGTGCATGTGGGCGGCGTGTGCACTGCCGTCGTACGCGTGTGGCCGGCGTGTGCACTGCTGACATACATGCGTGGCTGGCGTGTGCACTGCTGACATACGTGCATGGCCGGCGTGTGCACTGCTGTCGTACACGCGTGGCCGGCGTGGGCACTGCTGACATACGTGCGTGGCCGGTGTGTGTATTGCTGTCGTACGTGTGTGGCCGGTGTATGCACCGCTGTCATACGTGCATGGCTGGCATGTGCACTGCCGTTGTACGTGCGTGGCTGGTGTGTGTATTGCTGTTGTACGTGCATGGCTGGCGTGTGCACCGCTGTCATATGTGTGTGGCCGGCGTGTGCACTACTGCCGTATGTGCGTGGCCGGCGTATGCACTACTGCCGTACGTGCATGGCTGGCGTGTGCACTACTGCCGTATGTGCATGGCTGGCATGTGCACTGCTGTCATACATGCGTGGCCGGCGTATGCACTGCCGCCGTGCGTGCGTGGCCGGCGTGTGCACTGCCGCCGTGCGTGCGTGGCCGGCGTGTGCACTGCCGCCGTACGTGCGTGGCCGGCGTGTCGCTAGATTGAGCTTTCAGAAGGCAGTAACTCTGCCTTGTATATATTTTATATTTTCCTGTGTGGCACCTAGCACAGCGCTTTGCATTTGTCCCCTTACCAAATATGAGCTGAGTGACCTGCTCTACCAGGCATGTGAGTTATAGGTATAGATATTACTGAGTCTTTTCCCTTGGGCAGTTCATGGCAAGAAAACCAAATGTCTCAACATAATGCCAAGCACCGAGGTAAAGGGAGTGTGTAGACATTGCGCTACGTGGGGGACAAAGCTGACCAGACGGAGGGCCAGGGTAAGCGACCGTGAACTAGGTGTTGAAAATCGAGTAGGGTACCGCTGGGGTAGAGGGGCTGAGGGGAAACGAGTGAGAGCGACCTACACGAGGAACAGTGGGAAGTCTTGGTGTGGGCACATCTGGTGAGCTGCACGTTTCTGCGACCACAACGCAGATGCCAAGGACTTTCGATGTTACCCTTAAGGCCACAGGAGTCATTTACTTAAAGTAACCACTTGATGAGTGAATGCCCTGGCGTGTGCTTACCGTTGCCAAAGAGGGTTATCTCTGTGAGGCTTATCTCTGCCGCACCTAAGCCAGACACACACGGGCCGTTGCTTTGTACTCCTCCCCCACCCCGCCCAGCCTCCACCTCCCACGAGCTGCCTCTCCCCAGCACGCACCCCCGCCAGCTTTACCCAGCCTGCTGGGGTGTCCAGGACGGACTGCCAAGCGAGACCAGCTGGAGCTGAGCGCCGGCCTGTGTAATAGCGAGTTCTTTGGCTCTTCCTAGGCGTACATGTGCATGATGGGCCTGGACAGCTGGCTACACTGGGTCGCTTGGTTCATCGTGTTCTTCATCTCGGTTCTCATCGCTGTCTCCTTCATGACCATTTTCTTCTGCACTAAGGTACGTGCCTTCTGTCCTTTAGGACGGCGAGCGTAGCCGGGGACACTTGTGCGGGGGTGCTGATACTTCGCAGGCCATGCACACGCGGCTGCTGATGGCCGCTTGGAAAACCTCCAGCTGAAGCGGGAGCTATATTTGCTGGAACTTCGGAGAATTAAGTGCTAAGGACCTTTAGGCTCCAGGAAGTCTTTGCCCTCCCTTCAGCTCCCTGATCTCTAAGTACCGGGTATGGCTCTGGTTAATTTTGTTAAAATGAAATGCCAGGGCTGGTCCTGCAATGCAGTGGCTGAGGGAGTCAGATCCCACATGGCCGACCGCTATGCACACCCTGGCCCCAGCAGTTTGGGAAACATACTGGATGTGCGTGTGCGCGTGTGCGTGCGTGTGTGTGCATGCGTGCGTGTGCGTGTGCGCGTGCGTGCGTACTCAAAGTCTTGATGGGGGGAGGTGGGGAAGGGGTTGCGGTATCACCATGCCCTGTATGGGGAGCTTTCTCTGGCAAGTACACATGCTGTCCGGCAACAACAAAAAAAAAAAATGTGGGGTCGGCAGGTGGCATAGTGGCTAAGGGCACTGGACTCCCACATAGCCGACTGCGGTTCAAGTCCCAGACCTGATGGCTTGCTTTCTCACTTTCTCTCTCTATGTCTGTCTCTGGTCAAATTAAAATAAAGAAAGAAAGAAAGAAGTTAAATAAAACAAGAAATAGATATGAGATGCTTTTATTAAAACAGTACAAATTTGGGGGAGCAGCAGGTGGTGTGGTGGTTAAGGTGCTGGACACTCCCACATGGCCAACTACGGTTTGAGTCCTGGGCCTGGTGGCTTGATTTCCCATTTTCCTTCTTTCTGTGTCTCTGGTTAAATTAAAAAATAAAAAAAATGAATTAATAAGAAAGTACAAATTTATACTTTAAAAGTATTGAAAATAGTTTATTGTAAAAGATAAAACCATTCTTTTTCAGAGATTTTTTGCTATAGGGCATGTGCGCTTGCCAGAGAGAGAGAGAAAAAAAGAGAAAAAGAGAGAGAAATCACCCCCCCCCAGGGTATGACCACCTCACAATCCAGTCTCCTCCATTCTCCTCTCAGGATTTTGGGCACGCACGCACACACACACTGCATGAGGTTAAAGCTACCTGGTCTGGGACTCAAACCGCAGTCAACTAAATGGGAGTCCAGCGACGTAACCATTACTCCGTCTGCTGGTCCCCAAACCATTCTGTTATGTCCATAGTATTTTTTTTTCCTCTGAAGCTATTGATGGAATTTGGTGTTAAAATTTGCCAATTTGTGGGACCAGCAGGTGGCACGGTGCTTGGGCTGCTGGACTCCCACATGGCCCAAGTCCCGGCCCTGGTGGCTTGCTTTCTCACTTCCCTTCTCTGTCTTTCCTTCTCTCTCTCTGTGAGCACACGTGCCCAACAGCAAACTTTAAAAAATAATAAATTAGGGACCAGCAGTTAGCATAATGGCTGTGTCTCTGGACTCCCATGTAGTCGACCGCGGTTTGAGTCCCGGACCCGTTGGCTTAAAACTCACACCGGGCACGTGTGCGTGCGTGCCCAAGATCCCGAGAGGAGAATGGAGGAGAAGGGATTGCGGCGTGGCCATCCTCCTGGAGGATGATTTCTTGCTTTCTGTCTCTCTGTCTCTGTCTGTCTGTCGAGCGCACATGCCCTATAGCAAAAACCTCTAAAAAAAATGATAAATTAAATTAAATACATAAATAATTTTAAAAATTTGCCAACTTGCATTGAATGACTAAATTAAAAATGTATCTTCCTTTTTAATTTTTTTCTTATTATTATTTTATATTTAATAACTACATATTCATAGCATACTGAAAATTTGTCTTCTAAATTACCAAAATTTTCACTTTGGGCAAAGAAAACTTTGGCAAGAAAACCCAGATTAAAACATAGCAAAATGGGGAACCAGCAGTTAGCGTAATGGCTATGTCGCTGGACTCCCACGTAGTCGACCGCGGTTCGTGTCCCAGACCCAGTGGTTTAAAACTCACTCCAGGTGTGTGTGTGTGTGCGTGCCCAAGATCCTGAGAGGAGAATGGAGGAGAAGGGATTGCGGCGTGACCATCCCCCCCGAGGGGTGATTTCTCGCTTTCTGTCTCTATGTCTCTCTCTGTCTGGCAAGCGCAAGCGCCCTATAGCGAAAACCTCTCCAAAAAAAAAAAAAAAAAAGTAGCAAAATGTAAAAAACAAAGGAATTGGCCAGAAAACATTAACAGGAAGATATGTAGCATCAAAAAGAATAGTAAAGTTTTCTGTAATAGCAGCAATGGCAAATGGAATAAACCCACTCGTGAAAAGAAAAAGCATTCACATTGGGTTCAAACTTAATCCAGAGTTATGCTTTCCATAAGAAGATATGGTATAGACATTATTTGTAAGTGGGAATGGATGCAGGATCAAAGATCTGCCTTAGCAATCAACATATATTGTTCAGTTTAAGACAATCTTGGATTGGGACCAGCAGTTAGCGTAATGGCTATGTCGCTGGACTCGCACGTAGTTGACCGCGGTTCGCGTCCCGGACCTGGTGGCTTAAACTTACGCTGGGCATGTGTGCATGCGTGCCCAAGATCCCGAGAGGCGAATGGAGGAGAAGGGATTGCGGCATGGCCAACACCCCTAGGGGGGATTTCTCGCTTTCTCTCTTTCTGGCGAATGCATACGCCCGATAGCAAAAACTTCTCAAAAAGAAGAGATAATCTTGCATTTAGGAGCCAGCAGATGGCATAGTGGTTACATTGCTGGACTCCCACATGGCTGAACCTGGTTCAAGACCCCAGTGACTTGAAAATTATTCCAGGCACATGTGTGTTTGTGTACAAGATCCCAGGAGAATGGAGAAAAAGGGATTGTGGTGTGTCCATCCTCCCTTGGGGTTGATTTCCCACTCACCGTCTCTGTCTGGCAAGTGCACTTTAAAAAAAAAAAAAAAGATGATCTTGAATTTTAAAAATATATTTTCTACATAGGGTACTTAATGCTTTTTCCTTTTTTTTTTTTTTTCATGTTAAAATTATGTATATATGTGTTTGTTTTGAAGGTGGAAAATGTGGCTGTGTTCAGCAACAGCGACCCAAGTCTGATATTCGTTTTTCTAATGTGTTTTGCTATTGCTACAATTTTCTTTGCGTTCATGATCAGCACGTTTTTCCACAGAGGTGAGTCCTGATATAATTTTCTATCAGGTAAGTGTTTATAAGCTTTTTTTCTGGTCGCATTGCTATTCCCATTCCATCGAGATGAATGATTATTCTTCCAGAGCTCAGTTGTCACTTTTACGTTTTTTGGCAATGGAAGAACTTTCACCCTGTTACAGGCTTGGAACACCTCGTTGTATGTATGCTTTAGAGCTTCATTTGGCTCCTTCATATAATTCCCAACAGAAGCAAATAGTCCTTCGATTTGGAAGGACATGGAGGGGTAAGACAGCCAGGGAAGATAACTTTCCAGGTCTCGATTGTGAAGATGCACACACAGTCAGGTGGCTTCTCGGACACAGCAGTGCGAGAGGAATTGCGGGGGCCACCTGTCGGGAGGGCGCTGGAACTGGTGACCCCAAGGGACAAAAATAATAGGAAACGGCGCAGCAGTCAGTGCCGGGAGTGGAATTTCGTGCCGACCTTTACGCTATCTCACGTCTCACAGCGAGTCCTAATACCGGGCCGGGCAAATAGCACTTCCGCCAAGATGGGAGGACCCCCGAGGGCTGGGCTGGGCCTGTGCCTTCTCGGATCAAGCTGTGTATCTAACCCCACCTCCTCCGCAGCGCTGTGCAAGCGTGGCGGTCGTGGTGGCCGGACACAAGAGTGTGGCGAGCTTGCCACGTGAGCACCCAGGGTGCCTGTCACCTCCGCCTTAAGGGAAGAGGGAGGCTGAAGTGGCAAACCTAGGAGCGGGAGACAGAGATCAGTGGGGTCAGAAGTGCACCGAGCAACAGCCAGACTGGGGAAGAGTGCAGAGGCCGCCTGCGTGCAGCGGCGGGGCCTCACGCACTCCCCCTTGTCGCGAATGTTCTTCACCTTCCGCTCGTGAGACTGCGGCTGTGGAAGTCTTCTACTGAAATCTCCTGAAAGACTAACTCCTCCCAAAATGCAGAAACCCTCTCCGTACTGCGGCAGAGAGACGGGTGAACTCTGGAGTTCTCTGTGCCCACTTCTCCCTTCTGAATTTGCAGCCCACGTTGGAACCGTGCTGGGAGGCATCCTCTTCTTCCTCACCTACCTGCCGTACCTCTACCTCACTTTCAGCTACCACCAGAGGAGCCACTTGCAAAAGATCGCTGTCTGTCTCTTCTCCAACGTTGCCATGGCCCTGGGAGTCCGATTCATCTCCCTGTTTGAGGCAAAAGGTGAGCCTTATCTTTCCCAAACCCTGCCGAGCCGCCGTCATGCACTGTGCCCAATAGGCTAACGCTGGTTTCCAGATCACCCTGACTGGTACATCTCAGCAGTCCTGTAAGTGTCCTGCGCACTCACAGTAACGGGCAGCTGCGGAGGGGTGGTGTGGACGCCAAGGCCGCACAGGACGCGGTTCACGTGCAGCTGCCGCGAGCTGGAGAACAGAAGTTCTGGGCCAGGTGGCGGCTGGGGGCTGTGGCGGCCAGGTCCCACGTGGCTGACTGCAGAATCTGACAAACACGTGGGCGCATGTGTGCGTGTCCCAAATCCCAGGGAGAATGGAGCAGAAGGGATTGCCATGTGGCCATCCCCCTTGGGGGAGATTTCTCACCCCCCTCCAAGAGCAAACATTCCCCTCTAACAAATTAAAATAAAGAAATGAGCGAACCAAGAGGTTGTAGGTCTGCATAACACACAGCCACACAAGAAGCTCAGGTGCTACTCTGGAACCTTCCACATACTGCAGTGCTTTGACGCCTGTCAGACAGTGGTGAGAATGAAAGCTTAGTCTCATACCCTCCTACAGGTTGGTCTCAGGGCCTTCTGTCAAATGTACTCCAGCTTCCGTAGAATTCCCAGTTGAAACGCAATCCCAGGTTTTTATTTCTGGAGTTTGGAGAATTCCTCAAAACATCTACAGTTCATTTCAGATGACAGCCCAGATAGCAAGCAGAGCATAGGATCCACTGAGCCGTGTGTGTGTCTGTGTGTGTGTGTGTGTGTGTGTTTTCTTTCTGTTTTTGCTATAGGGTGTGTATGCTTTCTGGAGAGAGACAGAAATCACCCCCAGTTGGGATGGCCATGTCACAGTCCCTTCTCCTCCAGTTTCCTCTCGGGATTTTGGGCACACATGCGTATGTACCTGGTGTGATTTTCTTTTTCTTTTTTTTTTTTTAAAGAGGTTTTTGCTGTAGGGCACGTGCGCTCGCCAGACAGAGACAGAGAGACAGAAAGCGAGAAATCACCCCCGAGGGGGGATGGCCACACCGCAATCCCTTCTCCTCCATTCTCCTCTCGGGATCTTGGGCACACACACACACACACACACACACACACACACACACAGGCCCGCCGAGATTTTTACCACTCGGTGCCCAACTACGTGGGAGTCCAGCGACATAGCCATTACGCCAACTGCTGGCCCCTCTGGTGTGATTTTCAAGCTGCTGGGTCTGAGACTCCAACCATGGAGTTGGCCACACCCCTTGCTGGCTCTCTGCTAGGCTTCAGCATCAGTGTGGCTGGCGTTAGTGGCACACTAAGATAGGCAGTGGACACTTGACAAGTGCTTTCATTCCTCGACTGCAGCCACCATCGCCAGAGTCCTAGCTCCAACTTGGTTTACGGCTCGGCTTAGCAGTAATAACAGGAATAGGAGCTCAAAGCCGGTCCATGGGGCCAGCAGGTGGCGCCATAGTTACATCCCTGGATTCCCACAGAGTCGACTGTGGTTCAAGTCCTGAACCCGGTGCCTTGAAACGCATGCCAGGTGTATGTGCGTGTATCCCCAAAATCCCCAGAGGAGACTGGGGGAGAAGGGACTGTGGTGTGGCCATTCCCCGTGGGGGAGGTGATTTCTCACTTTCTGTCTCTCTGTCTCTCCAGTGAGTACATGCACCCGATAATAAAAATCTCCCTTAAAAAAAAGTCGGATGGGGAACCAGCAGTTGGCGTAATGGCTATGTCGCTGGACTCCCACGTAGCTGACCATGGTTCGTGTCCCGGACCTGGTGGCTTAAAACTCACGCCAGGCATGTGTGCGTACGTGCCCAAGATCCCGAGAGGAGAATGGAGGAGAAGGGATTGCGGCGTGACTATCCCCCCGGGGGGTGATTTCTCACTTTCTGTCTCTATGTCTCTCTCTGTCTGGCGAGTGCATGTGCCCTATAGCGAAAATATCTCAAAAAAAAAAAAAAACACGTCGGATATATTTATGGATCTTCTTGCTGTGATGGGGGTGCTCCCCCTTGACCTGATTAGAGGCATCACATACAGTGAAGTTCTTTGTGTGTTGAAATGGTCCAAGGGGGTCCTAAGGGTAAGGCTGCTGAAGTATAATAGATAGTAACTTGGCAGAGTTTATTTTTTAAAATAATTATTTTATTTAACTTTATTTAGTTATTCATTTTAATTTGACCAGAGTGAGAGAGAGAAAGAGAAAGTGAGAAAGCAAGCTGCCAGGTCTGGGACTTGAACCACAGTCAGCCCTGTGGGAGTCCAGTGCCCTTAATCACCATGCTACCCGCTGGCCCTGACACGTGGTTATCTTGAACAAAGCAGTAATAAGATCATAATTCACAAATATTCGTGTGAAAAAAACAGACCTTGAATGCTCTATCGGACCGAGTTCTCCAGTTTCCTCTGAGGGTTGTGGGCACACACATGCATGTGCCCAGGGTGACGTTCAAGCCGCTGGGTCCATGACTTGAACCATGGTGGGACATGTGGGGATTCATTGCCTTACCCATCATGCTGCCTGCTGGGCCCACTGGCATGTTTTTCAAGCCACTAGGGCCAGGATTCAAACCTTGCAGTTAGCCACGTGGGATCTGGCTCTCTTAACCATGAGGCCATAGGACCAGCCTAAGGACAGAAGGTTTAGAGAAAAACCCTTCATGGAAAGCAGAGGGTGGGAGAGAGGCACTGCCGTCTAGGGATGGGAACCTGCGCGAGGGCGTTTGCTACTCTGTTCACCTCTCTGCATGCCCAGTATCTAGACCAAGGCTCGGTAAAATGTAGACACCCAACATGTATTTGTTCGGTGAGAGAATTAATGCGTGAGTAGGACCCTTGCTTCTCTGTCAGGAAGGTGCCCTAGTCAGGGTTCTCCTAAGAGGGAGAGGCTAGAGCGCGTCCTCGGGTGTTACAGGGAATCTCATCTGTGTCTGAATCATTCACGTAACCCCTCCTGTTTAAAACAGTGAAAACTGTGCAATACATTTTCAATCCTTAAGAGCATCCTTTGAGGGGCCAGCAGGTGGCATGGTGGTTAAGGGCACTGGACTCCCACATGGCCGACTACAGTTCGAGTCCCGAACCTGGCAGCTTGCTTTCTCACTTTCTCTTTCTCTCTCTTTCTCTGATCAAATTAAAAAATAATAATAACAAATAAAATTAAATAAAGATGTACTTTTTTTAATTAAGGGGGAAAAAAGAGCATTGTTTAAGAGAATCGCAGAGTGGGGCCGGCAGGTGGCATGGTGGCTGAGGCACTGTCTCCCATACGGCCAGCCGCGGTCCACCCTGGGCCTGGCGGTTTACTTTCTCACGTTCCCTTACTTGTGCTCTCTCTCGCTTTGTCTCTCTCTCTATCTGGTCAAATTAGAAACAAAAATAATAATAATAAAATAAAATTAATAATTCTTTTATAAAAGAGAGAGAATAGCGTTTCCACAAGGTAGACCAAACTCCCAGGGGAGCTGCTAACCCTCAGACGTAACAGGGCCAAAGCCATCTCCTCAGAGGTCATTTTCTAATAGGGAAACTTGGGGCTTCCGTTTGGATGACTTCTCGGGACAAGGAGGTTAGACATCCCAGCCCAGGACTCCACCCAGGTGTGGAGCACAGAGACCCTCCCCACGGTGGCCAGGCCCCAGAGGGCTACATCTTTAACGGCATAAATACAGCCCAGAAGTAACTTCAGCAGTCACCAGGCTGGCTCTCTGTGACACCACTCCGAGGCGAAGGTTAGTGTGCTCCTGTGTTAGGGGTGCCCTTGGGCCTACTCTGTGAAAGGAGAGGGAACGGCAAGCCCGGGCGGAGGGAAGGGTCATGCTCAGTACAGCCCTGACACCTTGGGGGACTGTGGGGCCAACAGGGCCCATCTGCGTGTCCTCGTTGGGCTGGACCGGCCAGGCCTTTACGGCTCCAGCAGCCACTAGATATGGGCCATCTGAGAAGGTGTGCCCTGAGCCAGGAAGCTCTGCAGCTGAGACACCCCGCAGGGAGTGCCTGCGAAAGCTCTCTGCCACAGCACCCCAGTGACTGAGGCAGCAACTCATGGAAGGGGATCTAGGAGGTGCATCCCTCATAACCTAGAGGGCCTGGGGAAGGTGTGGCCGTACCCTGGACGACAACGAAGCAAGCCTGCCCCTGAGCGTCACTACAGGTCGTTCTCGGAGGAGTCGCAGGCCAGGCTCACACTGCACGAGCGGTCCAGGCAGCAGTAGGCAGTAAACTGACTCGAGATGGCTGCGGAGTGGTGCAGCCACCCAGGTGCCGGCAGAAGCAGTTATGCACTCCCCTGGAGGAGCGCGCTTTCACCTGCGCCTTGCTGGGTCTTCACAGGTAGCTTTTCAAGGGCGGTAAGGAACACAGTAAGAAGTGGCAAAGACACAAAGAGGGCCGGTCCTGTGGCCCCGGGGCAAGGTGCTGCTCAAGAGAAGCTGAGGGAGCACCCGGTGCACGGTGGTCACGCACTGGATTCCCACATGGCCTGCTACAGTTCAAGTCTCAGACTGGACACGGTGACTCGAAAATCACAACAAATAAACAGATGAAATTTTAAAAATAAAGGGAAAAGGAAAAGAGAGAAGCTGGAGCCCACACGGCAGCCATGTCTGAATCCCCAGCCCGGTCAGCCTGGAGCACGCCGAGCATCTGCTGAGTGTCCAAAGTGTAACAGGCGGAGGACTAGATGGGACCACAGCACGGGCAGGGCCTGCCGAGGGCGCCCCCGTGCGTGAACACACTTAGTCACAGAGAAAGAAAAGACGTGGTGAGGTGACTCCCTGAGAACCAGCAGGGACAGGAAGACATAGGCTCCCAGAAGCCTCCTGTGGGGACGATGGGGATGCAGACTAAAGGTAACAGTCCCCCCGTGTACTTGTTAGAAAGGCGAGCTCGTGCCATCTGCAGGAACAGGGGCTATTAAAAGTGCCCTAGGAAAATGACTTTGAGAAAGGAGTTTTGTCTCTTCTATTTGGATGCTGTAGACTTTGTATTGATGAGGAGGTCCCTGGCTTCAGTGATGTGCTCGCGTCTGCTGCAGCTTGGGAGTCAGTCCTGAGATGCGCAAGGTCTGCTTGTAACCCCAAGTGCACGAGAGAGAGGCAAAGCTCGGAGTCCCACCCCTGGAAGAGCTCTAAAGGCCACCCGGCCCTGCTCTTCACAGCGCGGCTGCAGCATCGCGTTCTCAGAGACCTCGTGAGAGTCCCAGGCCCGCCACGACTACCTCACCAGAGTCGGCTTTTCCCAAAACCCCGGGTGGCGGCCATGCCGTGGGGTGGAGCGCCGCAGGCTGTCCCACCTGCCTGCTTACGCCCGGGTCTCCTGTGCTCTCACTCCCACCCCTCGTCCTGCTGGGGGCCGGGGGAGCTGCATCTTGGACGCTCGGAGTGAAAAGCTTTGTGGACTTCACTCAGACCAGACGCTTGGCTCACACAGGACTTGGACCTCCGCACGCTCCAGGGACCGGCCCCAGCCCTTCCTCAGGGCCGGCCTTTCTTCGGGGAATAAGCGTGTGTTGGCTGCTTGCTGCGTAATAGACCTGGGTCAGATCTGGAGGTCCTGAGGTAGGAGGCCACCGCCGCACGGGGACGAGCGGGCGAACCGCGGCTGCAGGGCCCTCTGCGCGTCGGGTCGCCCAGTGGAGCGGGCCCGTTTGTTGGAACGCCCCTAGCAATTTCTACCCTTCGTTCTGTCTGCAGTGAGGGTCAAGGAAAGGACAGGTTGTAAGGTTCTGCCAGAGCCCAAAGGGACAGGTGGTGTTTGCTCAGAACAAGTCCCCACACCTCGGGGGCTCTCTCCAAACGTGTCCCTGCATTTGGCGCTGAGCTGGGAAGGAGGAGCTGGTGAAGCCAAAGGGCGCCAGAGGACGGCAATCCATACGGCGCAGAGGTGGGGCCACGTGCCTCGTGTCGTGCGGCCACACTTCTAACCCCTTGCTGCCCCAGCAGCAATGGCAGTGCTGCCTAGGCCCCTCTCACGGCAGGGCCTCCAGCGCCCTCCTGTGCCTAGTGCTGGCTCCTGGAGCCCTGGGTGCAAGTGGCTCAGGCTGACGCTCTGAAAGCCTCTGTCCCCGTGGTGACTGTCTTTTCCCTTCGTGGCAGGCGTGGGTATCCAGTGGAGGAACATGGGCAGCGTGGGAGGGGAGTTCAACTTCACGCAGGTGCTGCTAATGCTCCTGCTGGACTCCCTGCTCTACTGCCTGCTCACCTGCTACGTGGAGTCCGTCCTCCCCGGGAAGTACGGGACGCCCAAGCCCTGGTACTTCTTCCTTCTGGTGAGTGCTGCTGCGGGTCGCTCAGCGTGCCCACCCCTCGCCCTGTCCGCCCTGGCCCAGCGCAAACCTCCGCTCCAGGAAGCCTCTAACCCTGTTCATCCCGGGACAGTGTGTGGTTGCAGTGAAGCATAGCCAACTGCAGGCGTCTGGCTCTCGGCCCCGGTGCCGGGGCGGCTGACCCCACGCAGTCTCGGGGCGAGCCTGACATGTGCCTGCTCAAATGTCGGATCCGCACCCCGCAATGTGCCGGAGCCGGCCTGCTCCTCCTTCCCCGCCGAGCTCCTGGAGGCGTCTGCGGAGGTCACAGCTTTCCCGACAACCCCACGGAGCGCTCAGAATCAGCCCTCTCCCACCATGACACATTTTCCTGACAAAATGGAGCTCTCATGCCTGACTCGGGCCTTCTATGGGGGCCCCGATGACTCCACCACGGGCTTGCGAGGTGGCTGACTGAACTGCACGGGCACAGCTGACACCTGCAGAGGCCACCATGCGTGTCTGTCTTGGGGTGTGGGGGTGGGCAGGGTGTTAACGCAAGCACGTCTCCAGCATCCAGCAAACGGCCCGTCACACCCAGAGCTCGGACGTGGTGTGCTCTGTAGCTCGGGCCCACGGGCTGGGAGCTGGAGCGCGGCTGCTTCGTGGTGAGTCCCCAGCAGGCCCTTGACTCCAGGTGCCATGAAGTATTGGGCACCGAAGGTAGACTGCAGGGGCAGTACTTCATTGACCAAGCCCTGCTTCCCAGAGATCAGTGCGCCTAACGATTAATGCCAAGTCCACTTCCTCTCCAGCCCTCCTACTGGCGTGGAGAACCTAAGCCAGTCCCCAAACTTCTGCTGGACGTGGAGGACCCTGCAGAAGATCCGAGAAGTGAGTTCATGGAGGAAGAGCCTACCAGTCTGGAGAGAGGGATCGAGACCCATCACCTAGGCAAGGTACCACCAGCTCGCAAACCTCCTGCCAAGCACGCAGGGACGGCCCGTGTTCAGGGATAAGTCCACACGCCAAGAATCGTGGAATGTCAACCGAGGCGGAAAGTTCAGACTCTGCTATTTTATACACAAGCAGGTTACCAATGATTTGATAAACAGTTGTCTCCACAGGTTTCATATCGCATTTATGTATTTATTATTATAAACATTATTCATTGTGGGACCCGCAGATGGCATGGTGGTTCAGGTGTTGAATTCCCACATGGCTGACCATGGTTCAAGTCCTGAATCCAGCAACTTGAAAATTACACCAGGCATGTGTGTGTTTATGCCCAAAGTCCCGAGAGGAGGATGGAGGAGAAGGAACCTGCAGCATGGCCATTCCCCCGGGGGTGATTTCTCACTTTCCCTCCCTGTGTCTCTCTCTGTCTCTCTCGGGTGGGCATATGCACCCCATGGCAAAGACCTAAAGAAAAAAGTTACTCATTGTATGAAGCTAGATCACGGGGGAGCAGTCCAAAGGTAACAAGGAGCTGGACCTTTCCTCGGGATTAATTTGAAGGCGGCTAAACTCGGACTTTGTAAGCCTGTAAGTTACCAAATCATCGATTTCTACCAGATCTTCCCTTTTCTTCCAAAGAATTATTTTATTTAACTTTATTTATTTATTTACTTACTTACTTATTTTTAATTTGACGAGAGAAGGACAGAGCAAGAGAGGGGGGAAATGAGAAAGCAAGTCGCTAGGTCCGGAGCTTGAACCGTGCTTGGCCACGTGGGAGTCCAGCGCCCTTAACCACGCAGCGCCTGCTGGCCCCAGGTCTTCACTTTAAGCACCTCTCTCCAACTTTGTTTCTTTCTTGCTTTTGTTAGTGCACATTTCTTGGTGCACAGGACAGCCTTACAAGAACTCACAGAGAGTGAGTAAAAGTGTTATTTCTCTCTTTCTAATGAGGTATTTTATATACAATTTTACCCATCTCTGACTGGACCGATGGTACCACAGATCTTCTTAGAGTATAAATTCTTATCTCCCACAATCCTCAACATGGAAATTAAAAATTCTTTTCATTGACTTTGTTTTTTAAAAGCCATCCTCTTTAATTTGAGACTTTGTTGTCTGATTTTTAATCACATTGTTTTTCTTTAGAACTGTATTTCACAGTAAAGAACAATTGACAATTTAATACATCCCAAATAACCATTAAAGAGAGTTTTTTGTTTGTTTGTTTTTGTTTTAATTTTTAGGTCTCTGTCATGAGACAAATGTACTCCTCAGAGAGGGACAGAGAGACGGAGAGGGAAACCGAGAAACCACCTCCCAGGGAGATGGCCACGCCACAACTCCTTCTCCTCCATTCTCCTCGCAGGATTTTGGGTACACACACAAACATGCCAGTGTGATTCTCAAGCCACAATCCAGGACTTGGATTGTGGTCAACACGTAAGGGTCTAGTGCCTTCGGGACCAACACGTGCTGATCCTGTGGGCAAATTTTGAATGTATACAACATAATGTAATACTAAATGTTGGAGCTGGCAGGTGGCGTGGTGGCTAAGGGTGCTGGACTCCCACGTGGCCAACCGTGGTTTGAGTCCCAGACTTGGCAGCTTGCTTTCTCACTTTACTTCTTTCTCTCTCACTCTCTCTCTCACTCTGTCCCTCCCTTGTCAAAAAATTAAATAAAAAAGTTAAATAAAATAATTATTTTTAAAAATGTTAAAAATATGGGGAACCAGCAGTTAGCGTAATGGCTATGTCGCTGGACTCCCACGTAGTCGACCGCGGTTCGTGTCCCGGACCCGGTGGCTTAAAACTCATGCCGGGCGCGTGTGCGTGCGTGCCCAAGATCCCGAGAGGAGAATGGAGGAGAAGGGATTGCGGCGTGACCATCCCCCCTGGGGGGTAATTTCTCGCTTTCTGTCTCTATGTCTCTCTCTGTCTGTCGGGCGAGCGCACGCGCCCTACAGTGAAAATCTCTCCAAAAAAAAAATGTTAAAAATATGAAATGTCTAAGGTGGTGAATATGTTTATATTTTCAATTTGCTTATTATACACCTTATACCTCTTTTTAAAACCATACTGGGGGCCAGCAAGTGGGGTGGTGGTTAAGTGCACTGGACTCCCACATGACCAACCGTGGTTTGAGTCCTGGACCTGGCAGCTTGCTTTCTCACTTTCTCTCTCTCGCTCTCCTTCACTCTGTCCCTTTCTGGTCAAATTAAAAAATAAATAAGGTTAAATAATTCTTAAAAAAAAAAAAAGAGAGATTGTCGAGGATGCCAACCAGCTTTTCTTTGTAGAGGTTATAGCTACTGGTATTTGCCATATTAGTAATTAAGGCAGAAATTAAAAGTAAAACCCGACAAAGATGTACAATGATTATACATTACAATTACGACTCACAAATTATAGTTAATTAATTAATTTTTAAAATAGTTCTGGTAGGGCCAACAGGTGGCGTGGTGATTAAGGCACTGAACACTCCCACATAGCTGACCACGGTTCAAGTCCTGGACCTGGTGCCTTGCTTTCTCACTTTCCCTCTATCTCTGGTCAAATTAAACTAAATGAATTAATAAATAATTATTTAAATAAAAAATCATCCTTTTAAGAATCTGTTTTATTCTTTCAAAATCATCTTATTTAACTTTATTATTATCATTTTTAATTTGACCAGAGAGAGACACAAAGAAACGGAAAGAGGGAGAGTTAGAAGCAAGCCACCAGGTCCACGACTCGAACCACAGTCAGCCATGTGGGCGCTCCTTAACCACTGTGACACCTGCTGGCCTCGGTTTCTGTTTTATTCTAACAGTGGTTACGAGTTATCTTTTTTTTTGAGAGGATTTTTGCTATAGGGCGCATGCGCTCACTAGAAAGACAGAGAGAGACGGGGAGACAGAAAGTGAGAAATCACCCCCCAGGGAGGATGGTCACGCCGCAATCCCTTCTCCTCCATTCTCCTCTCGGGATCTTGGGCACGCACGCCCACGCGCCCAGCCAGAGTTTAAGCCACCGGGTCCGGGACTCGAACTGCAGTCGACTACGTGGGAGTCCAGCGACACAGCCATTACACCAACTGCTGGTCCCACAAGCTACCTTTTGTGATGGAGAATTCTCACTCTCTTCTGTAATCCTGTCCTCAAAGTCAGAGCTGTAACTTGGAACATCCTGTTTCCTAACCAAGTCAGATTGTAAGCAGATTTTCTATTCCAAATTGGAACTTCCTATTCCACTCGGAGTTTTCTACTCCAAGTGTACGAGAGCAGTGGGGTGCCAGGACGGGTATCCTGCAGAGCGCTGCATCTAAAGCTGCCGCTCGTCCACTCTGAAGGGGGC